TCCATGGCTGCAGTGGGGGTAGTCCGCAGCGCACCTGTAACATACAAACACGCAAGTCTCTGTACTTTATTAAGTGCAGTAGTGGATGTAGACTGTAGGGTCTTTGACCACCATACTACTGCACCATAAGTAAGCATAGGTCGGATTACAGCCGTGTAAATCCAGAGGGCATTTCTGGGTGACAAACCCCATGTCTTACCTATAGCCCTCCGGCATTGACCGAATGCAACGTACGCTTTTTTTACTCTATTATCTAGGTGGGCTCTCCATGTCATTTTATTGTCAAGTGTGATGCCCAGATATTTAACTTCTTTTGACAATACCAATGGAGTATCAGCAAGGGATGGCATTCTGGGATTGCCAACCTTCCTCATCTGTGTGAAAAGAATCAACTCTCTTCTTAGGATTCACAGAGAGTCTTTGTTCGTCACACCAAGTCTGTATCAGTTTGAGAGCTACTTGCATCCTGTCAAACAGCACGTTTATATACTTGCCTTTGACGAGAATGGTTAAATCATCTGCTTAACCAACTGTGATAAAGTTGGCTTCGGCGAGGCGGTTCAAGAGGCTATCCAGGGTGAAGTTCCACAAAAACCTCACCCTGGATAGGGTGAGGACGTTACAGATTTCTTCTGAGAGTAATATTAATATAATCTATGTATACAATTAGTTAATTTCTTATGTTGTAGTTTAATTTTTTACTTTACAAATGTGCCGTGGATCCCCAGTATTGTTGCAGGGAGTCCTTTATTTTGGGAATCACTGTTCTAGACCTTCAAAATTTATAAAGTTCTCATAACAAAAAATTAAGAGATAATAAGAAATGAATAAACTGATCCATTTAAAAACTCTTTCACATTAATTAGACGGAATCAATGGACTATTACTTCAACTCTTACTCATCCAACCGATGAGAGAGTTCCATAGAACCTCAATTTAAATGAACGTGACCACACGCTTTACTCTGGGCCTTTAAAACCAATTACGCACGTAGTTAATTATAGCGGTTAATTCGGTTCATCCGATGTATCTATGGGTGTCATTCAACTTTGCTCTCTCTTTCAATATGTTGATTACGTAATGCGATTCTAATATCAGTTTAAACGACCTCGGTTCGGTTTCTTCTTTTTTGGTGTGTAGTAGATGTGGAACGAAGTGTTTGAAATTTATGTAAAACGGCTGAAAATGAGGCACCATCTGCGGTTCTTGGACTTTGTAGGACAACTGGTTGGGGTCTAAATTTAAAAGGTTTTTTTTTTGGTGCTCAGAGGGTGGGTTGGGTTAATTAATGCTTAATTAAGGTCGAGAGGAACTTACTAAAACCACAGGAAGTTTTCGCAAAGACCATCTCATCTCTTTTTGCAGTGTTTGTTTGTATAATATATAAAAATATGTAATAATTTTTTCTTTCTTTTTTAGGTAAATTTAAACAACATTTGGATATAAGTAGTAAGTTTTATTTTAGTTAAAAATAAATTCGTTTACGCATTCAATATTTATTCAAGGTATGGTAAAATTAAACTTTGCATACGTTTGGTTTGTGTTGAATTAAATAAATTTGCAAACCAATTTTTGCGCGATTGTTTACGTTTATTACCGCGCTTGTTTCCGATTGCCAATTTTCGGAAATTGTGAGTTGGAACCTGAATCCCCGGCCTATTTTAGTTTAAACGAATACGACGCGACGACAATTGCCCTCCCTATTATTAGACGGTCGTTTCGAAATATTTATAGCACAAGATCCTTTTTTTATAAACGGCTTTTTTTCATTTTACCTCACCGGGGTATTTCCTGAATATTTTGTACGAAAGCTTTTCAAGAGTTATTTTGAGAGCTTTTTAATTTATTAAATCGCTTTGGGAAAGCCGAAAAGCGTATTAACATTGTTTTCACATTAATGAATTGATTAATTTATTGGGTTAGGTTTTAAAGGAGTTCTTTGTTCTCTAAAACCAGACTAAACAGTCCGTGTAAACGAAAACTGGAACAATATTTGCCTGAAAATTAGTGTCGGGGTTGTGAGGCCATTGTTCTTTCAACGCCCAACATCGTTATCAGTGTGGTTTACTGCTAATTACTTCCTCCTCTGAAGTATTACTTTAAAAATGTTTATGACAACCTGGAGATTAAAATTGCTTTACCCGTATATCTTTACTTCTTTTTGTATAGATCAATAACCCATTTTATGATGGGAAATGACATTCTTAGAAATTCTTACACATATACATAAATAATACTAACTACCCTCATTACTTATTCTTGTCTAACAACAAAATTGAAGGTCCAAAAATATCTCCTTAAGCCACAACTGTCTTCCCCGGTCAAAATAAACGGTTATAGTCCCGTGGCACGAGCCTCACCGAATTCTCCTTGTCTTTCCATCGTAGACAACGTGGCTTATTTATCAAACAATCGAGACGAGACGGTTTAGGTCTCCCCTCGAAAGGAAGGAAGGCAACGGGCCGCGAAAAGGACCAGACGATGTTATCGAAGAGGAGGTACGCCTTAATTCGAACTGCCTATTGTGTACCGGTCAGGTCACTGCTACTGCTGCTGTTGACCTCCGCTCCAGGCCACAAACTAAACGAAGAAGATAGCAACAGACGAACTCGAAGCGTCCCTCGTATATTGGCCTCCAATTTAAAATCGTCTTAAGATGGTGTTATTTGGTCTCATGGTACTTAACCTTTCACCTTTTTAAAATTTATTAAGTGACGAAAGAAAAAGTTTTTTTGTAATTCGCTACGGTAATGGAAGCTATAACAGTACTCAAACGGGTGCTGTAATGAGACTTATTACAGCATCCGATGCTGTAATGAGATTTTAGTAACATTTTATGGAACCAGTTCAAGTTGGTGACATTGGGTCATTAATTTTTCTAGTTTCCAATTTTTGTCTATGGATGTTTAAACACGTTCTTAACATCGAATACAAGGTCCACAATGATGAGGACATTGACTCTGAGCAATTTCTTGTATTTTGGGAGGCGTACATCAAACATTTTTTTTCAGGTGAATATATTTTGTGTTTTGACAGTTTCTAATTGTCAATTCAAAGTTTCTATTTTCAAGTGTTCCGGTGTTACCAACTGTTACATGCCTATTTCCCTACATTGCCAAAATTTACTTTATTTTTGTTAAAAAAAGTATAAAAACGCGAATTACAAAAAATAGCATAAAAAACACGTTTCATAAGACTTAAAGCACTCATTCATTAAAAAACTCGTGGCTTCGCCACTCGTTTTTCAACTTGAATTCGTGCATTTCAAGCGTGTCTTACGAAACTTGTTTTTTAATATACTATT